CAAACAACATAACTTGGTCTAGATAAACGTCAAAAGAAAATACAACAAGTTTGAGTCGTTTGTTTAGCCATGTAAGCCACTCAGGTCTGTTACATTCCTTACACAAGTTCGAAAAAAACAACTCGGACTGGTGGGCTGTATTTAAAGTTAAACCTCGTGGTTGGACTGATGAAAATCATCCTCAGAAAGACATTGCTTTCCAATAAGATGAAGTTGAATCAAATGAAATCATTATACCAAGTAAAGCCGATACAAACAATTATGATGATCAATACATGTCAAGCAGCGGTTCAGATAATGAAGATAACATTGATGAAGAAGGTGAAATTCATGAGGACGTCAATGATGGTTTTCCTGACAGTGAGGGTAGTTATGAGTATAGCACTACTAGAAAAAACAGCCTTTTACGACGCGCAATGCGTGTCGTAAAACGCTCAGACGACGCGCAAATGCGTGTCAAGGAAGGCCATGTCATAACGCGAGACGACACGCTTTTGCGCGTCGTCTATTTACGACGCGCATTTACGACGCGCATTTATGACACGCATTTACGACGCGCAGTTATGACACGCAATGCGTATCAAGGAAGGCCCTGTCATAACGGAAGACGACATGCATTTGCGTGTCGTAACCTTACGACGCGCGTGTTTATGACACGCAATGCGTATCAAGAAAGCCCCTGTCATAAAGGAAGACGACACACATTTTTTGCGTGTCAACATATTAAATGTTTTTAAAATTATATATTTTTGATAGATTTACTAATTTTCAAATTAAATAACACATTAGAAGTCTCGTAATACAAAATAAAATACCATAAACAATAAAAATAATTCATTGCACTAATATGTCAAATACAAATAATCATTCGAATAGTAAGTAAATGTAACACAGTGCTAATATTGCATAATATTTATTATAGAAAACAAACCATGTACAACATTAAAAGAAACCCATGACTAAATTCTCATTTGACAATTTTCTTTCTAAGAGAATAACCTGAATGTAGGAACTTTGAGAGGCTGCAGGGCATGGAAGGAGGTTACTAGAGCTGTCTGAACCTGCACATGGCAAATCGGTAAATTTAACATGAATACAATACAAGATGATATGATCTCGAAAAGAGGAAAGTGAATACCCACCTGATCGGGTTAAGAAGATTCCAAAGCACTCATTTCATCCCTGCAAATTAATGGAAATATGTTGCCACTTTTTGCATTAAGCCAAAGATTATTGATATAATTTAATGTATTTTAGTGGTATGAAGTTAAACGTCTCTCTGTAAGTCTAAGCACAAAAACGCCTTAATTGTCTTTTAAACCGGCTTGTTTCTGTTATTTGACGTTTTAAAAAGCTTAATTGACATTTTAGCTTAGGCAACTCCATTTTCTCTTTTGTGAGAAAAAAACATTATAAGGTTGTCCACTTGATCTGCCTCCATTTCTGAGTATTCCAATACAGGGACATAATCCTGTCAAGTTTCAACAAAAAAAATTACCATGAGAAGAAGATTATTCAAATAAATTACAAATTATGAGAGTTCTAAGAACAGTAATAGATATATAATATATATATATATATATATATATATTATAATATATTTGACCTAACATCAATACATTTAATGGTATCTTGACCTTTAAAAAAATGATTTCCTAGGTATATGGCCTCCTGTGACCAATCTGCAAGAAGTGAAGTATAAACTAACTTTACATACAAATATTTACAAGCTCATTCTATTTATAAACAAGATGATATTTTATCAGCTCTGTTTTTACATGTACAGCTACCGATACCTGAGATTTTACTTTTCTGTCACTTATTTTGGATTCAGGTTTGATGCAAACCTGAGACCAGAGACTAAAGTTCTGTTAGGTCAATTCCAAGTGCCCTAGAGAGAATAAACCACAAGAAAAAATGAGACAATAAAGAGATATTATTAGGAGACACGACATCATCCTCTTTCAAAAGGAAAAAAAACTTACAAATTTTCTGTCCCATACTCATGGTAAGACCTCTTTTGCCTATTTTTGTTAGATCTTAATGGCTATAAGCTTCTATATTCTTATCCAAAGCACATGTCTTTATGGCTTTTCTGAGATTGACATACCACACACCTAAGAAAATAGACACGTCAAAACACCCAACATATGTTATCGTTATAGTGATAATATATGGTCATTGATTTAGACTTAATCTATAATTTATAAAGAATGGTGTTTTAGCTAAAAGTTTTGGTGTACCATTTATGCCTAATGAGTTAAACAGAAGACAAGAAGTTACAGGTTCATGCTTTAAGCCACCACATCACTTGCATAAAATAAACTTAAAAAGAAAGATTATAAGAAATTCAAAGACTTGCTAGAACTTTCTTCCCTCTTCTTATTCTCTTATTCTTTGAAAACCACCCATCACCACTTATATACATCTACAACCAAGAACAAATATGCTAGTCCCATTATTGAATGACTTTATTAATAGAACTTCGAATAAAAAGAGCTTTTTCTCTCACAAAATAAAGTTTAGAGTGTGAAGTTCTATGTAGAAGATTGTAGAACCTTACATCATCAGCAACAACAATCTTTTGGTTTGGGAAGTCGATCATTGGTTTTCTTTGAGGTGTGACAAGTCCAAGAGGACCAACAATTGCAACTCCGGCTATTCCCTGTATATAAAAAATGGAAAGAAAAAAAAATTATATAATAAGAAATATGCCAAGTTTTGTAAAAGAAACTGAGTCCAAGCATCATCCAAAGTATACATGAAAAGCATGAAGCAACTTATAAGGTTCAAAATTTTCTCATAGCATAATCCAGATTAGTCTTCCCCGATCTTTAACTATTCTAAAAAGTTGTAAAACAGACCTCTTTTGGAGACAGAAAGAAGTAAGGAAAAATGCAATTACGTTTATTAATTTATTAATAAACTATAATGTTGTAATAGAGAGAGATATGAAAATCACTTCCACCGGTCTCTGTTAAATGCAACAAAAGAATTGAGCGTCTTTCATACTTTAATGCAGTGGGATTAAGGCAGCTAACAGCTTTGTAATTAGCTTCAAAACATGAAAGAAATAGTAAAATATATATATTTTTTAAGAATGATTTTTTCAATAAGAAGTAGAAGCATAACTAACCATACATGTGAAACATTTTGAGGGACAGAAAAGAGAAGAATATGATAGTTGAGTGTGTCCTATTGTAAGTGTGCAAAAAGAATCTCTAAAGCCATTCCAATCATTGTTGCCACTGTCTCATGGGTTCCTTCCTTAGAAATATTTTAATTTATTAATTTATTATTATTGTGTTCTTATTATATAGCCATATAAATCAAGAAAACTACCTTTGCAGCTATATCTGCTGTGTAATTTTGAAGAGCAAAATGTTGGGTCAAAGCAGTCGTAGTTGCTCCACTGGCAACACTAGCTAAAGCAACAGAAAAAAGGGTATTTTGGTCATACTGATCACGAGGGTAGCAAATTACACAAAGTGTTCGGCCAATTTTGCAAGTGGAGTAAATACAAAAAAAAAAAAAAAAAAAAAAAAAAAGTAGAAAAAGGGAAAACATTAATTACTAAAACATCTTGACAACCTTCCTATGCTGAGAATGAATATAAATGCTGAAGGAAACAATGGAGAGACAAAGTCCATCAACACCCTTTAACATATGGTCTTAATTGGGTAGCCGTTTACCGAAATTGCTTTGGCATATGCTTTGTTGTATTACCAACCATTAACAGATGGAAACCCAAAGATAGCAGCCTAACATATAAATGGTAAGAAAAAACATTAAAATTAAAGTAGTATAATTCCTTCCAACCATTTTTCATTGTAAGGATAGGTAGGAGCCTAACATAACCAAAAATGACAAACTTACCCTTTATAAAAGTAAATATCACTTCCACATCAATTGCATTTGAATTAAACAGAACTTAGGTAAAAAAAATGGTAAGCTGGAATTGAGCACCAGATCTTCATTAAAGCCAACACCAAATCTGGAAGTTAGCAAGGGCATTTTAGTCATTAATATGTATATAATTACCCAAACGTTCCTGTTCACCAACTGCATGAGAATTAATATGTATATAATTACCCTTCATGGTTGTAAGTTAGCAAGGGCATTTTAGTCATTATAGTCATTATGGGTCTTCATTATAGTCAAAATGTTGTAAAAATGAATGATTTTAAAAAACAACAAAAATGGAAAACCGAGAAAAATGAAAAAATGGATGGTTTTAGAAAACGCAGAAAAACATAACCAAAGACCGAAACCAAAAAAAAACTAAAAAACCAAGTCGTTTGTAAGAAACAAAAAATGTAACCAAAATAGTCGAACCATATCTATAAAAAAAGCTTGAAAACTACGAATTAAAGTAGAAACTAATAACAGAGGCACCACACAGGAGGGGTTGAAGGACATACTCAGACAACATGAATCAGGCCATATTCCGGCCATTTTATCTTGGACTTTTGGCTTGGTTATGTGTCTTCTTTGTGAAGGCTGAAGACCCATACAGATTTTTTATATTTGAAGTTACATACGGACAAATTTCTCCTCTTGGTGTTTCACAAAAGGGTAAGAGTCAACACACTTCTCTTTACTGCACACTTCAAGATGATGATGATATCTTAACTTATAATCTCTTCTTTTCCACCATTACTTTAGGGCATACTTATCAATGGGAAGTTCCCAGGCCCAACCATTGACTGTATCACCAACGACAATGTCATTAACAAGCTGGATGAGCCCTTTCTTATCACCTGGTAAGTACTTTCCTCTGATTTGATTCTGTGTTCTTTTTTGCTTTCTGTGATCATGGCTCATATTACTATATGGATTTCTATTTACTCTACATTAGGAATGGTATCTAACAAAGAAAGACCTCATGGCAAGATGGAGTTTTGGGGACAAACTGCCCAATCCCACCAAACTCAAACTGGACATACCAAATGCAAATGAAAGATCAAATTGGAACTTATTCCTACTTTCCTTCAACCAAGATGCATGTTGGTGGTTTTGGAGCAATTAATATCCGAGCAAGAGCTGTGATTTTTGTCCCATATCTCAAACCAGTTGAGGAGTTCACTTTACTCATCAGTGACTGGTGGAAATCAGATCAGAGGGTATTTTCTAATTTTCTCTCCCCTTTCATATATCCTTCTCAATTACATTGTAGACAAACAGTTAAATTAATAAGGTTCTTTTTCAGACACTACAACAAACACTCGACTCTGGGAACACTCTTCCCATGGCTGATGCTCTACTAATCAATGGTCATGTTCAATCAACCTCTTTCACTACTCAAAATGGTTACATTTTTCATACCCTATAAACTCAACATGACATGGGTTCTTGACTTCTTTCTAATATATGATAATCTTTCAGGTCAAAGGTACATGTTTAGAGTATCAAATGTGGCCTTAACCACTTCAATTAACTTCAGAATCCAAAACCATACACTGACACTAGTCGAAACTGAAGGATCACATACTTTACAAGAATCATACGAATCACTAGACATTCATGTTGGTCAATCCTCTTCTTTCTTGGTCAACCTTAATGCTCCTGTAGAAGACTACTTCATTGTTGCTTCAACTCGTTTCACCAAACCAGTTCTTACAGCTATAGCAACCCTCCACTATGATGGCTCCACCACCAAAGCTTCTTTACCACTACCATGGGGTCCCACCTATGAGATTCATTGGTCAATGAAACAAGCAAAGTATGTGATCCAAAGAATTCAGTGTAGCCTTGAGATCCCTAATCGTTAGTAATTGAGAGGAGTGAAAATGAAGTGGTGAGAGAAAATGTAAAATCATAAGCTTCTTCTTAGCTAAGACAAGGAGAGGTGGACGCAGAGGGGAAACTAGCAACACAAGATGAAGCCAACATAAAAGATTGAGAATTTAATTAGGGAAAAATAAATGAAGTAGCCAACAAGTCAATTTAATTACCTGTTTTGCAGTCTTTTAGGAGCTTTCAAGAGTCTTCTTGAACCCTAAATTTCTCCAATCTCTGAACCCTACTCCAAAATTGTTATCCAGGGCGCTTAATTCGTTGAAATCGGTTCAACTTACCGACCAATTTATTGCTATGGGAGAGGAAGTCAGAATTACCGACTTCGATGTCAGCGGTGGAGATGACGACGACCGAGTTTCAGAGTGGGAGGTCGGGTTTCTGAAAGTCGATCCGACT